AAGATCTTTCTTCTACAGTTCAGAGAAGATATTTTATGAGGAGAATATACTTTAACTATGAATACCCATGGGATTGACAAACATCCTATTGGAAGATTTGTCTCATTGTCCTTGTAGAGATTTATCCTGTTTCCATTATTTCTGTTGGATTTGATCGAATCTGTACCCAACGTACCCTGTTTCCTTGTACCGTGCAAAAAACTTCGCATTCCATAAAACAACACAGAAACATTTGTGGTCTGTTCAGTTGCGACCGAGTTGCTTTCTATAGTCAATTGTCGTCATGATAATTCTCGATCTCATCCGAAGAAAACTGGATGTCGAAGACAAAGAGGAAGCTTACAAATGCAAGCTCGTAGCTCGTCAGCAAAACAGTCGAATCGAGGAGCCAGAGCAATTGGCCCGTCCGCGGATTCTAGCCCGAGCCGATACCCCACTGGGGGAAGGACAATCACGACGCACAACTCAGACCGGAAGAAACTAACGAATCAGCAGCAGATTCACCCATCGATTCCAAGCTTTTGTTTTCTTAGCCAAGCAGAGAGAGAGAGAGAGAGTCAAGTTTGGAAGAACATGATGATGATGGTGGTGGTGTGGTGGTGGCAGGAGTCGGTGGACAGTAGTGGCAATGGGTCTTTGCCAGTATTCCCACATACACTGGTCGAACGACGACCTATGACGGTCGGGAAACCAACCGTCATCCGCTAGGACCCGTTTCAGTGCCCGTTTGGTTGCCACGGTCTCGAAAACAGACGGATCTTCGGAATACGGCCACGAGCAGTAGAAACAGTAGTCAGCGTCCGTGCGTGAAAAATCGGGGATCCAATGATCTAGCACTCGCCGGCACCGGGCCACACGTCCGACCCCCCCAGATAAACAAAGATATGTGTCGTTCCTTTGTCTGTTGGCGGAAAGGGAACGGAGGTGAGGGCTACCAGGGCTGCCAGAGAACTAGAGGAGGTACTCGTGGACAGGCAGAGGAAGGGCAGGGCGTGCCGGGCAGAGGCGGGGCGAAATGCATGAGATTCACAACAAGGAACCTGGAGATGGCGACGAGAGGACGAGTACCCTCAGATAAAGTGAGAAACCGTCAGATTTGGCGTTCGGAATGCATGGTCTGGAACTGCGCAAAGTCAATCGGGTTCGCATTCTTCCGCTCTTGAGCCCGGTGGAGATGAGCGAGCGAGTAGGTGGTGCGAGGTGGAGCGAGCGAGGTGCAGGAAAGTCAGTCACACTTTGGCCCTGATCCGTGTTTATCTTAGTGCAGTAAAAAGAATCTGTACCGTGGTGGAAATTTAGGAAGCTCGCGCGTGACGTGAGCATGCTCTCCGGCGATTCGAACATCGCAATTTGGAGGCATGCAGTTCGGGACGGCAGGACTTCCAGGGCCCTTGAGAGTAGAGGAGACGGATCTGGTCAAGTGGCTCGGGTGTTGGGATGCGGCCCCTAACAGAGACCGAGAGTCTGGAGATGCGGTCTTAAGCATGATGAGGTTAATTAGAGCCTGGCTAACGTGGCATGGCTGCTTCGCGAGTGCGCGGTTCCACATATTAATAATATAAAAATGGTAACGGTAAGATTTTGCGCCGTCTTTCGATGGCGAGCTGATGATTCTGTGCAGTATGTGCATGGAGAGTGTATGCTGGAAACGTCTTCTAATGGGAAGCCGTGGAAAGCGACTCCCCGTTCGTATGCACGTGAGACCGTGCGATGGCGCTCTGGCTCGTTTGAAGACTTGCGAGGCGTGTAAGCCTTAAAAAACACCTGCCTCGCGGTCTTGATTGAAGCTTTCAAGTCCGACACAATTCCGTGTGTGGAAGAGACTACTCGCCCTCGCTCGCTCGCTCACTCCCATCCCTTTCGATCGAGGGCGACGGGGGTGCCCCGTTTCCTCATCTCCGAGACCTGACGACGATGCCCCGTCTGCTCGCGGTTACCTCTCGCCCTCGAAAGAGTCGAACATCCACTCTCCCTGACAGCACATGCGAAGTGCAGAGAGCTCCGTGCATGGAGTGATCTCTGCGGAGCAGGTGTTGAACAGATCAGACCAGACTGCCCGAGGAAGTTCGATCGATACGGAATGCGAGGTTCTCTCAAGTCCGCGGTTGGACCGCGCCAGCCACACTCAGACTAGACGCATCTACAACGAAGAAGAGCGAAGCGAAGAATGCCTCATCGTATAGAGCCAAAATCGATCCCGAACTGGACCGTAAGTAGAATCTGGCAGACACTGGAGTCTAAAAGTATCAGCCAGCTAAGAAATCCTAAAATGGCAAACGGTTGGACTTTGCACAGTGCAGGGCACTGGGTAGAGTCTATCCGAAGCCGAAGTCGGATCAGCTAGCGCAGCATTATTGCTGGACGTAACAAGCAAGGAGGTAAGGTGGGCAGTCTTTTGGAGTCCGAATCGCACAAGCGAGGTCTTCCGCTGCAGCCACTCACCCAAACCACTCGTCCTGATCGGTTGCCGAGTTTCGGTTTTCCCAGAGGCACTCGAAATAACACAATGATAAAAAAAGGATGGACGCAACGAGGCGCGCGCTGTGCTCACACTGTCAGAGGTCAAATCGGACGGGAAGACCGAGCGCCAATTTCCTCTCACCTCGAAACACAAAGTCCAGCGGTTGGTAAGGTCCATCGCTTGACGGATGAGAGGGAGGCAGGGAGAGGGGAGGCCCGTCACCTCACCTCCCGTGCATCGATCGAACTCTCAAACTAGACAGAGCTGCAAGACCTCAATCCTACAAGGCAAGACCTGCAAAAGCTCGATGGTAGGGGATCGTGGTGCCGGAAACTAGACCTCGAAGGGCAAGATTTTCAGACTCGAGGTGCGCCGAAATTCCCGTCGACCCTTGTCATCGGCCTCAAGACTCACATTGACTTGCATGGGATGCTCCGAGCGCTCACGCGACACCCCGCTCGTCGTCCGCCCCGGCTGCATTGATGCAGAGAACTCGCATGAGAAGGATTCCTTCCTCCGGGGCCGGGCGCCGACCAAAAATCGCGATCGGTCGGTCGGCACATGCTCGAGTCCTATCGCACCCGATGCCTCGGTGACCTGCGCTGTGCTCCGTTCTAAATGGAGACAAGAGGCGCAGCATCTGACACCAAATTTAGCTCTTAGGACATCCGGCGGATTGATGATGAGACGGGGCCGCAGGACAAGACGGCAAACCTGCGACCTCGCGCTCCTCCGCCTCCTTCAGAGCCAGCGCTCGCCGCTTCGTTGCCCACTCCGTCCTGGCAGCCCCGGCGCCAACCATGCAGTCGGTCCGCGAAGACCCGCGCGAACAGCCCTTACGCTGAAGAGAGATCGGCCCACGCCCCTCTCCCCACGCCCCAGAGCAGGAGCTCCGCCTGCTCCTCAACCCGGAACTGCCTCCGGCTGACAGCCGTTGACCCGCAGCCCTCGAACGAGAACGAGTTCGTTCGGCAACACAGCCTATGCCCACCCGGCGGAACGAATGCGTCGCAAAGGACCGGTCCAAGCGGAGACGGGCGACCTTGACCCCTTCCTCGTCCCAGTTCTTTCGCGGTCTCACGGCGCGTTGAGCCGCGCCCGTGGACCGGAAGATCTCCGACTCCGCTCCGCTCTCGCTACCGCCCGCCCGCCCTCCCCCGCCTTCCCAACGCCTTCTGAAGGCCACCACGGCGGACTACGACCGCTGGCCGAGACCCCAGTCGTAGTCGCGTTTATCAAGAACATTCTCCGAGCGTAACCCGCCCGCCTGACTGACGGCCTGCCTGCTGGAAATGCTGGAAGTGCCGGTGAAGCGGAGCGGACACGATACCGGGTGGCGGATGCGACGGCCGTGACCGCCCGTGGAGACAGAGGCGAAGGACGAAGAAAATGTCGCCCTAGTGGTCTGCCTAGACTGGCTCGCCATGCGCGTCGACAATCGGAAATGTGAAAAGCGGGGGTAGAATCGGATTTGTCCGGATTCCTAATGTAACCAGAACCAGGTTTGTCAGCGAGAAACATTCCCCTCCGACGCCAACCGAGCTGCCTTTCGGCCCACAGTTCCGGAAGAAGAGGCCCATGGCATGCACGAAGGTGATCATCGGAGGAGGGCCGAGCCAGAGCGCCTCGTAAGTCAAAGTCTGTGCGAAGTAATTGCCCCGTCGGTGAGGTCTAGCTACCATCCTCTGCCGGACTTCCATGTCATCCCTCCTAGCTATGGCGGTTGCTAGCCGCGGACCCGGCGTTGTGCTTTGGACCAATTGGCATGGGTCTCGCGCTCGTTATTATATCCGACTTCCTAATGCATTTCCTCGGATATGCGTCCGGACCCCGAAATGTGGATTCATTACATGGCCTTGTAAATTCCCTCGCGAAAGGCCTCTTCGCTACGAGTCAAACCGATGACACGGGCTGTCATACGCAATCTTTTACTGTAGTCGGAAACGGACTCGAGGATGAGATGAGACCCATGGAGTCATTCACTGGCCTGGCATCCATGGATGATTGACTCTCTTACTAAATGGATTCCCTCCGGCAGCCGTGAAGTCTCGTTTGGATTTTCGTCAATTACACATTAGCATGATCTATACCCTCCGGCCCCGATGTTTACAGCACGGCTCGGTCACCTTCATATTTAGGTGCAGCTCTATTTCGACTTCCATCTGTGAATAAACTTGACAGTAGAACAGTAGTCGTGCCAGGCGACCTCCATCTACTCGCCTGAGCCTTCCCTGCTTAGGAGCCCCTTGTACATAGGTTCGATCTCGATCACTGCCGCAAGAGTGTGTGTGACAGGAGGATTTTAGCCGTTTGTTTCTTTAGGACATTGACACGTAGAGTGTGGGATCAATGCACGTAATCGCGTACTAGCTCGATCGTGGGCGTCGAACGGGGACGCTGGGCGTGGTTCCTCGGGAACATTCATGCATTGCAGGGCTTTTGTGGACAATTATGCTTGTAACGAGATTTTTCAATTTCAGGCCATTTCAAGAGCGAAGCACATAGCACTAGGGCAGGATTCGATAAATTATAATTCGGCATGGCTTCAACGTCTTCCCCGATGGTTATCGATCGAGACTCATCGCTGGCTCGCATGGAGGTCGTTACCACAAGCAGCAGCAGCAGCAACGGCGGCGGCGGCAGAAGCTGCTCGCTGGCCTCCAGACCCGTGGAGCAAGGCGATGCACTCGAATCTAACATTCTGTCTTCTTCCATGGATATGGCAAACGCGAAACAGTGTGTGAGCATGGAGGACATTCTTCCCAACGCTCTGCTGGGAGAGATTTTCTCGCACCTGTGCGATGCGCGAGACTTGTCTCGCGCTGCTCTGGTGAACTCGTCATTTCGCACGCAGTGCAAGTTTGCCAAAAATGTGCGGTTCAATTGCAAACTGCAGAACGTGTCCAAGAAACCCGCCAAGGATGGGGTGGTGGCGCCTGCGGTCACACCATTCAAGCAGACTGTGCTCAGCATGGTAAAGAACCTGACGTGTGTGGAAACGCTGCGGCTGGAGATCGATGAGAATGTACAGCAGAGCAGGTTCAAGGAGGATGAGGTCGATAGAGCTAGTCTGTGGCTTAGTGAGAGTTCTTTCGTTAACAGCTGGCTGCCTCCGGTGAGCGAAACTCTGACCAGTCTCACGCTCATCGATTACGGGCCGCAGGCAATATTTCACTCGTCGCCGTTGCTTCCGCTTCTGTCCAAGCACTGCCAGCAGTTGCGGAGGCTGGAGCTGCGCAATATGTTTCTGGATTCCAAGGGATGCAGCAAGATGAACAAGGTCACATACTTGAGCTTGAAATGCGTGAAGCTGATGGAGAATGGATTGCAAGACATAAGCGAGATGATGCCCAACCTGGAGCACATCATATTCCAGACGGTGGTAGGGCTCGTCGAGGCCAGGCTCAAGTCCGATTGTTTGAAGCTGCTGTGTTTGACCTTTGCCACAAGAGTCCAGGCTGTAAAGCTCGAGTCTACGTCGCTCAAAACATTGCAGTTGAAGATGGTGCAGTGTCCAGCTGAACTTAGGGTCAAAGCCCCTAACTTGGAGGCTCTGGCGCTCAGGATGACCAAAGGAGACAGGTGCGTGGTGGAATTCGAAGGAGTCCGGAAATTGAAAGAGGTTCTGATGGGGGGCCACGAGCTCTCCATTCTGCAGAAGCTGAGCTCCCAGAATCGTTCCATTCAGAAGGCATTTCTGGACGTTCCGTGCATGATATTCGACGACGTTGGGGCCTGGCGGGGAGTGAAGCCGCTTCCACCACCGCTTGAAGGTTCTCCTCCTCGTCCCACAATTGAAGGATTGAGAAGCTGCTGCTCAGGGATGAATAGCTTGAGCGTGGGGCCTGGCTTGTGGCACTGCCTGGAGCAGGGCATAATTTCCAGCGCCGAGGGGGCACCAGTAGTATTTCATCCGTGGACGTCATTGACGAGGCTGATTTTGCACTTGGTGCTCCAGGACAAGAAAGTGTGTTACGGCCTATTGATCTCTCTGGTCTCAGCCATGCCTCACCTGAGCCTGCTCGAAGTGTATGTGCACGGTGAGGATAAAATTGAAGCGGACGAAATGCGACTACGGCTAGTGGATCAATTTCCCAAACTGGTTTTGACGTGTGACAGTTGGATTAGGTCCATGAAATTTGACGCCTTTGATGATGTAAAAAAACAAGGGGGTTGAGCGGAATCAGCCGTCAAGTCCAACCCGTTGAAATTGTGTCAGTTCATCTTGGATCCGTCCACTCAATTCAGATGCAAGGAAGTAAACAAGAAAGGAATCGAACGGAGGGACCATGAACTCAAAATTGTCGTGCGGATGAGGAAGACGTGGTGAGATGAGATCCTCACACGAACAATAAAGGAGGTGGCTTAAGACTCTTGAGTCTCGAAACGTGAAGGATTTCTCATGATGAGCACGCTAAAAAGGATACGCACAATCCGCGTGCTTCATATATCATGAAGAAGGAATAAGTTCCACGAGCAATTTTCTTCAAATGTAACAAGCGCTAGCGCTGCACGCTTTTTGTGCAAGAGAATTGACAAGCACTGCACTGCACTAATGCGCCATTGATCATCATCCAGAACTTGCATGTGAAGTGTGTACACTTTTCTTAGGCTTTAGCAGGGAGTCGATCCATCATCTGAACTCATCGATATGGCTCGATCCCACTGGTGCCAATATTGAGTGTTTTAGTTATCACTCTGTTTTTCTCTCCTGTTGCTCTTTGTCCTTTTTTTGGGGTACTTTTGTATCTTTGATGGGGCTTGAAGTCAGGCAGCGCGAGAAGAAAGTCGGGTTTCATGAGGGTAAGGTTGCGAGACTTTTTTCCGCCCTCTTTAGGTCAGCATCCCTCTCATGTTAGATATTGACTTTGAGCACTCTGTTTGCGAAGATCGTGTGTCCAACTTTGTTGCCATGTTTTCGGCCTAAAGTGCTTGATATGGAACGCTAGGGCTTTCTCCTCAATTGGCATTGTTAATCTCACCGGATGGATGCTGAGGATAGTGCCAACCGCATTCATCTCCGCAACATACGCATCGATTGCTGAGCCGCGTGGCAACCAAAAATCTCTCCAAGATGTACCTTGAATAATATTATGAAGAGTAATGCATTCTTGTTGAAGAACTTTGACTTCTCCATGCTAAGTCGTGGGCATAAAACCCATTCAGATCTCGATGTTAGAAATAGTTGAGATCGGTATTTTGTATGAGCCTCTTCTCCACTTGCCAAGTAGGATACACTTTTTACCACAAGTAGGCATTCTTCCCCGGAAGCAGACATCCTTTTTTTCCAGAAACCATGGAAATTCCGCTACAGGCGGAAAAATATGATTTGTGATGATTTATGAGTTGGAGATTTGTCTGTGTACTACTTCCGCGGAACCTTGTGCAGGCGGATGCTAAATTACATGTGTCAATCTATCCAATTACTGGTGTGTTACTCCTCGCTTTGAATATCAATCCTTGATGAGAGTGAAGGTGGAGGAGGTTTTGGAGTTCAATGAATGACAATATTACTACAGAATATTACTACATCTGTAGTATCATTTTCCTCCTGTCAGTAAAGTAATATGTTGAGAGTGAAAGTCATTGATCATAGCCCATGATACGTGCTATCAAATAGTGGGTGTTGGACCTCTTGACTCTTTTTTTTTTCTTTTTTTTTTTTCCTCATTTCTTTGTTCTACATTCATCACATTTTTCTCTTGTTTCAAGAATATTGGCTATATCACTTGTTTTGCAAAGATGCCCACATGTTTCTGATTTTATTCCCATACTATGCACGTAGATATTAGATAATGTCAGAGTAGACTCGTGAATCAACATAGGGCACCATATTACTGTGGCGATATCACTGTGACTGCATGGCCAAAAGGTGTAGCAACGATTACACAAATCATGTCTTCGAAAGATGCGACTTTCTTTTAGTTTCAAGTATTGAAAGCATAGGAGAAAAGACTACTGCTCTGTAAAAAATCACACCTTTATGAGGTCTGCACCATGTTAGCTGAGATTGAACGCAACGGTGAAGTTCAACAAGCAAATTTGCTTCTTCTTCTAAAAGTTCTTGAACAAATCTACCAGTTAGTGACTCCTTATTGCTGAGGTCACTGATAGATATGCTTCTCAGATGACGGTGAGTCTAATTTGTTTTTGATGACGATGATGATGTTAATGATACTTTTTGAGTGGTTCTTTGTATCTTATGATGGACGGTCATGTCAGGTCCCACATCGCAGCCTGCTAACAAACTTTTGGAACACTTTTAACGAGCCGTGCAAAGATGAACTTGGGAGTAAAGTTTGAAGCTTTGGGACCTCTACAACCTCTCGGTCAAATAACCTGCTCGTGATCATGACATTCAAAGGGGCATGACTAAGATTTAGGGCAAATTTTAGCTTCATCATCTCAGAGTTTTAATTCTAGTAGTACAGAAATTCTTTAAAAACTTTTGATTGTAACTCTAAGCGTGCGGAAGAAGTAATTCATAACCCTTATTATGAGACAATAGCACTGGCCATGGAGAATGATCTAACAAGGGAATTCAGATAACAAACCTTTGGGATGTAAACTTGAATCTTCTGAGTCGATTTGAATGTATGTGTCTTGTGTGTTCACAAATTTTCTTGCGATGAATATATTTCCTTGCGAAGCATTAGCTGCAGAAAACTCCTTTCCAGAACTGGGATGAAAAGTCGGCAAAAGTCTTTTGTGCACGCTTTTCTTCCTGTTCCCACGTCTTCTTGGGCTTCGTAACAGTCCTACTTCGCTCTCTGTATTGACTAGTAATCAGGAAGGTTTCTCGTGCTATGATTGATTGTAAAGTGAACAGTTTGTGTTGTATGTGTATAGAATTTTTATCCTAACGTCCTCCTGAACTTTAAACTGTTATCTTGACCTTCTTGAAGGTAGACAAACGGCTGATTGTTGATGAGCTCTTCCGACTGGATCATTATCACAAGCCCACTTGAAAGAGTTTATAACAATCAGCCGGTCCATGGTATTACGTTGTTGGTGCTCTGTGTAACGAGTGGCATGTTCTGTCAATTTGGTCAATACCACCATATAAACTTTCAAATCAGAGTGATTCATTTCCTAATTTCGTTCCACATCAAATGGTTTAATTTGCGCTTCTTCCAGGAATGTCTCCCCGAAATCAAAAGTCGCATGCTTATGCAATTCTCTCCTCACCAGTTCGTCCGTCATCTTCTCAATGTATTTCAGATATGAGGTACATTGCACATGTACTTGGCATTCGTCTGAATTTTTAATTACACACTTCAGAATGAAGTGTGTAATGAGATATCCTGAAGTTATTAAGCTTTGCATCGGCTCGACGCTAGAAATTCTGAGATCAACAAAACGTATGAAACGTCTGAAATCTACTACAGCAAATCTACAACATGAGCATAAACAGTTCATCTCAACTCAAACCCTCCAAAGTTCCTCTCAGATAGTCTCGCAAACATCAATCAGAACATTGAATGGGTCAGAAAATAACAAAGACTGAAAGAACAGGACTGTCATCGAGAGAAAAAAGAATCAATCACGTTCATCAGAAGCGTGAGAAAGGTGAACTTCTGAAGAGCAGGTGGAGGAGTTAGTCATGACTCACACGTTTAGTATTTTCATAATCGACTGATTCCTGAGGAGCTGAAGCCATCTCCAATAGAGACCTACGACCCCTCACATTTGATTGTACCTGATCGCAAATCGGTACCCGCCTCGGCGTTCTCTGCTCCGCGACTTTGGTTTCGCGTATCCCTCTTACAGACTGAGTGACTGAAATCTGATGGCAACGCTTTTGCTACAGTCGAGCAGCTCAATTCCAGCTTAGTGATGTACTTCCGTCAGCTCGTCAGTAGTAGTTTTCAGGATGATTCCATCTACAACTCGCCCACGGCTTTGACTACTCACATACGAGGGCGTGCTGCAGTGTGCCTATGAAGTCTTGGGAAGTCGTCGTATGCCAGAAACATGTCCATATCTACAGATAATTATATTATTATACAAAATATCATCTCCATCACAAAACCGACTACGATGCTCCTTCACGTTCCCAATAGGTACGACCCGAGAAAATCGTTTGATTGATCAGAGCTGCGGCCTGGCTTGGCCTGGCCTGAGCAAAGGCTCGTGTTGAAATCCATATTCAACGCATGTCTTGACCTCTTTCTTTGCCACCTCTGATGACCGAACGTCGAAGTCGCATCAAGCAACGGACCTCGAAATGCCAAGCGCAAACGGAAATTACCATCATTGACTGATGAAGAAGAGCGACCGAGTTACCTTTACCCACAATGAATGTTCTGACTGTAATTAGGCCGAGCGCAGGTGGCTGCCTACACCCAATGCCAGAAGCGCTCCCCAATCGTGCTAACTTCGGTCCTAAATCCACTGACTACTGGAGTTGGAGTAATTGGACTACTGTGCGACAAAGCCCTCTGATGTTGGGTTGCTGCTACAGCAGGTTCCGAGTCAAAGTCAGTCTTGCACAAAGCGGGTCTGGGGAGTCTGCGGTTGGACAGGCCTGGCTCGCATCGCATCGCGGCCAGCAGCTAGGAGTAGAGCCAAGTTGCCACTCCCACTCCCACTCCCCTGGACCATGTGGACCCTCTGGGTGGGGTCCGGGAGTCTGGCCAGACTTTCGAGTCCATCCTGTCTGTAGCTTGAGGACCGAGCTGCGTTCCTGCTAATGACCACATGTGCTCTCGCAGGAACGTTCTGGATATGATCAGTTTGTTCACTGACCCTCTATCTGCCCCCAATCTCATGGTTTTGCCTTCAGCCCCTTCAGCCCCTTCGCCTTCATTTTCCCCGTGAGTTAGGAATAACTTGAGCTCTAGCTAGCGAGAACTTCACCACGAGGACGAAGAAGAAGAAGAGGAAGATGGCATGTCAGGCAATGCCAAGTAAGCAAGATAAGATAGAGATAGAGCGAAAGTTAGAGGTGTCACGAGTCAAAGGAGACCACTCTGAGCTTGATGGGTGCTCATGCGAGCTGTATACATCTAAAGTGGAGTCACTATCAGCTGTGATGTGATACAGCAGGTAGTAGACCCGTAGTTTTAGGCCGTGGACCCTAGACCAACCGAGCGAGTGAAGAATTTTCCCCGCTGAGTCAAACCCCAGGACACATGGTGATTTACAGTAGGTAGATTGAGTTTCGACGCGGGACTAGATTTGCCCCGCGATCACCAATGGAGCCCCAATGTACCCGTAAGTACCGCAGCCTCACTTCTGAAGCTCCCGGATTGAGAGGAGAGTTCTAGACAGTTAGCGAAGAAGAAATGGTCGTGTGGAGAGGTGAAAGCTCTGAGATGATAGGAAGCAGAGGGGTGCAGAGAGGCAGGACATGGGTGAAGAACTGAAAGCCGACGGTGGGAGGAACAGGAGGAAGAAGAAGCCGAAGCAGCTTCAGCAGCAATCAACCCTATTGCTGCTGTGCGTTTGTGTGCTGAGAAGCCTCGGATCAGCTCATCGTATCAAGTGTTTGCTCCGCCCGATGACTCGTTTCTACGGATTTCTTCTGTCTATCTACATCATGCCTCATGCCGCGTAGGGCAGGACAATCCTAGGTTTTCGAGAGTCTGATGGTATGAGCCACATGTCTACATCTTCAGTTGTGCTTCTGCTTCAGAACTTTGTCAGTGATTATATCAGACTCCAATTCGAGGGTGCCCTATACGTCGCCCATGTCTTCCCCGTTCTAGACCCTTGGAAGTAGAAATTCGTAATATTTGCGCGAGGGGGGGTTCGAAGGAGCCGTTTGCCTACTCTCGTCAACCCTATTTTGTTCTGTGTCGAATCCCCAAGTACTACTGTACTGCCTGTACGAGGGATCGATTTTGATTCGGATTCGTGTGATGGCCTTTCTCATTCCTCCCACGTTGGATGCCGTGATCTCTGGCGCATAGACCAAATCCTCTTCAAGCTCGGCAAATTCGTACAGCAGTAGTCCGACACGGCCTCAGGTGCACTGGTAGGGCAATTCGTGTGGGAAGCTGACTGAGTTGGCCGGAGGCTGTTTCCTGTTAGTTTGCTTGTCGAATCCGGAGGTGCAGAGATTGCAGTCACCTGGGAGGACATTTCCTAGGATGGCAGCGGCATCCTCGACGGCAGTCGAGCGCGATCTCGTGAATCAGTTTCACCATTCGTTGGACATGGCGATGCAGATGAATGAGGACAGAGATTTGGCTGCCGATGAGCCTCTGAGCATCAGTATGCTTCCGGAGGCACTGATTGGGGAGATTCTGTCGAACTTGTCTGACGCGCGGGATTTGGCCAAGGCTGCTCTGGTCAACTCATCTTTCCGCAGGAGCTCGGCGTATGTCAAGTATGTGAGCCATATCTGTAGACTGAAAAACATTCTCAAGCCCCCGGGCGAGGCGAGTGTGCATGTCGTTCCGTTCAAGGAGACTCTGCTCAACGTTGTCAATAACCTGAAGTGCGTGGAACGGTTGCGCTTCGAAATCGAGGACGATGTGCAAGCGAACAGGTTCAAGGAGGACGTGTTGGAGAAGAACAGTCTCTGGCTCAGCGAGGGTCCCTACCTTGAAAAATGGTTACCGCGTGTGGGTGATACACTTCAGCACCTTACACTGATCGACTATGGGCAGCAGGCCATCTTCCAAACAACTCCACTTCTTCAACTCCTTTCGGTCCATTGTAAGCAGTTGCGGCACCTCGAGCTCCGAAACATGTTCCTGAACACCAACGACTGTGGCAAGTTCAACAAACTTGACACTTTGAATCTCCGATGCGTCAAACTCTTGGAGAACGGGCTCCAAGACATCAACGAGTGCATGCCTAAGCTCGAGACGGTGACTCTGGTCACCGTCGTGGGCCTCAAAAGAGCGGTGTTCAAATCGGCATGTCTGAAGGTCTTGTGTTTGGGCCTTGCCACGAAGGTCACTGCGGTCAAACTCCATGTGCCTATTCTTCACAAACTGCAGCTTAAGATGGCGTGCCCTGACGAGCTCAAGGTTTTTGCTCCCGGTTTGTTGGCTCTGGCCCTTTCGATGAACAAACGTAACGACGCTGTCATCGAATTCGAGGGAGTCAATAAGCTCAAGGAGCTTCTCATGGGGGCATCCGAGATCTCCACTCTAAAGAAATTAAGTCTAGCCAATCGAACTCTGGAAAGGGTTTTTTTGGACGTCCCTTGCCTGCATTTTGATGACACAGGAAAATTCAAGGGAGTCAGAAATCCGTCACCCACAGCGCTTCCATTGATGGAGGACATCATTACGTGTTGCGCAACTTTGCAAGTGATGAGCGTGGGGCCTGGCCTTTGGTACGCACTGGAGCAGGATATGAGCAGTCGTGCAGGCATCACGTATCCCAAATGGTCCTCGATGAAACAGCTAATTCTGCACCTGGTAGTGGAGAACGCCGAGCTGAGCTACGGGCTGTTGGCGAGGCTGGTAACCGCCATGGTGGATACCTTACACACGCTGGAAGTGTACGTGCACAAAGACAGCAAAGTTGGTCCGGAATGTTTCTTGCGACTCCATCAAGAGTTCCCTTCGGTAAAGAAGGTCAAGGTCGACAGCTGGAAGAAAGGGTTGAAATTCGAGTGCTTCAATTATTAACGAGTGTGAAATAAAATGAAGAGTTCAGTGTGACAGCAGCACTTTGTCTCTTTGGTTCCTGCACAGAATCGCAGGATTTTTCCGCGACAAAACGTTGCGTTGGAGGGCCGTGTGCCACTCTTAGCTCCGCTTTTCTGGCTAGCTTTGGTCAGATTTCCATGCTCTGAGATATACAGAACTCGGGCCCGTATCACAAGATTGAGGAGCTTACAAAGGACAAGTTCTTCGTGTGATGTGGATGTCCGACAGATATGGCCTGCTTCCTTGAAGGACCGAGCGAAGATAGAAGTTGTTCTGCAAGTGTCTTTCTTAGGCGAGTATGGTATATGGCTGAGGCCACTACTGATGATGGAGGCACAGGGTCAGATCACGCTGTTTGACCGCCGGGAGATGAAGCGATATCTGTCAGGCCAGTGTCCACTGATTGTGGTGGATTTAGGTGAAAAGTCATAGAAAGAGGTTTCTTCGGAAGGGTTTTTCCATTTTGTAAAGATGTTTCTTTGGACAATGTCCTCATGAAGAGCTAGATGAAGAGAAACGTTAGACAGGGCCAATACAAGGTGGGCGGTAGGAGTAGGATTCTGAGTGTCTGTTTTTCACAGTTTCCTTTGTATATGGTTGCTCGTGATGGTGGCCTTGATGATGAGGTACAGAAACGAACCCAAAAAAAATTTGTAGCGTGCTCTGGTGATTCAATGATATTTCATCAGTGCAAGTATTTCCATTTAGAACAAGGATCGGACCGTCCTTCTGTATTGGAGAGCTGCTTAAAGAGCACCAGAAAAGCTATAAACCGCACAGCACAATGCACGAGTTTGTTCGTCCATCAATTATTCTTCTCTCCTGCTTGCTTTGCGTCGCACATGGCTTCGGTTTACAAGTCAACTCTTGTATTCATTCTTCTCTACTCGATGTATGGTCTTTCATCTTTATAATTATTGTCTCTGGATTGAAACCAGCGTGAAATCACTTCCATCCGAGAGTCGGTCGAAGTTGAAGGTTTCATATCCGCTATTGTAGAATGCTATTTTATTTTAGAGGTGTTTGCTCATTTGTCAACTCTTCGTGCGTCGTCGATCACTTGAGCCCCAAGAGAGCTTCAAATTCTTCCGTCATGCTTGCGCGAAATAAGCGTCTTGTTAATGAGCGTGTTGTGAGCAGCGCACATGCCTGGACGCTCCGAGGGACCGTGCTCATCGTTCAATTTCTCTGTGCTTGTCTCACCTTTTACAGCAGTCAGGAAAGTGCATCTCTCGTATGTGCGGATGGTGAATAGAGTGGATTTTTAAAGCTCGCATGAATGTACTTGTGCAGTTGCCTAAGCACCACCAGACTGCACATCATGTGGCCCGGAGTAAAGGTCGATCCCTGTGTCTGTGTCGTCGAAAGAGCAGCAGAGTGCTGCTTCAGGCTAATCATTTCGCAAGCAGGGAAGCGCATCGTGTGCTTTCTTCCGAACAGCCGCTCCGACGTTGTCACAGCTCAAGCACGCCTCACCTCGATGTGTGTCTGGTCACCGCGAACGCTGGCAAGTGTTTCTGGGTCTTGTTCCTTGTCTGTTCCACTTGGTTTCCCACGAAGGAAAGTGCCCCCACATGTGCCACAGATCCGACGAAGGTGCGACGGGTGAATTTTGGCCGTACCAGACTTTTACCAGCCTCGAGAGTGATGAGGCTTTGTGGGTCGCTCTCTCAACCCGAGAGAAGGTTCTTCATGCTGTGTCTTATCAGACGAGAGAGAGAGAGAGAGAGACGATGAGTGAGAGGATTGACTCTCCTCTCGTCTCCGTTACAATGAAAGCAGGGGAAAAGCACAAGGTGATGGATGCACATGAGATGCTCCCGAGTATAGAATTATTGCTTTCCACAGTGGAGGGAGGGAGGGAGGGGGAGGACCAGCGAAGACTTGGTACGGTCGGGTCGCCCTTCAGGATCCTGAAGGGACAACATGTCTGCGGACCACTGCAGGTTCCGGGCACCTGCACTTTCAGCCTCACAGAACCGAAGAGGGAGCGGGACGGGCAGGCAGACAGACAGAGGACCCGCACACGCGAGAAGGACTTCCACTCACGGACGAGTTCAGGTCCACAGTGCTGATCCACACAAAGTCTTCCCAAGTCCGTGAAAGTCTGTGCGAGCGGTAGGTCGTGACAAAATCGCCTCGCCCCTTTATGGGAAACTGCCACTGGCTCTAGCCTAGTGTAGTCTTTTAGTCCTCGTCCTTCGTCCGGACCGATCCCTCCCACCCTTGCCTATCGTAAGCGCGCGCGCCCGCCCGCCCGCCCCGTCGTCGCCCAGAGATTGCGTTCGCAGCTTTTCCCCCTCGGGCCTGTTCCATTTGACGAGTGCGTCCTCGACTGCGATTGCCTCGGCCTCGCCCCGCCGTCCACGACGCTCTTTTCGCCATTTTTTTATAATTTTGCAGTGTGCATTTCAAGCAAGGCACGCGTCTTTACTCCGGCAGGGAGTACTTCCGGCCGGTCCGATTTCTGTGGTGCCAATGGGAGTTGTCCACGCGGCGCCGATCATGAGAGTTGTGGATGCTACTCGCCTCCATCGCTCCTCGGAACCAAGGCCCCTTGACAAATTCAATTCATCGTTGTCTGGGGAGTGACTGACTCACGGGAGCCAAGTTCGTGCTTTCGCTTCGCGGAATCCCCATATCAGTCCAGATTTCGGGAAAAATATTGTTTTCTTTTATCGAGTTCCACTCGTAGCGTAGTTCGTGTCTTCCATTCGAAGGTCCCATTTCTCTCGCGGTGACCTCGGTCCGCACTAATGGCGAGGGCTGGTGAAAGCTGCCTGTTGATCAATGTTCGAACCGAAGGTCTGACAGTCGAACCACCGGAGAACTGTTCGTGCTCACGATGATGGCACTGCAAGGCTGCAAGATTCCCTCCATTCCATGGTACCAGCGGCATTTCTTTTCAGAACTTTAATTCCTCATAATTCGTGAACTTGTAACTTTTCACGACAAGTTTATCTCTATTAAAGCACGGATGTTGTCATGGAATTGGATTTCCGCCCGCACTCTTTGCGCATAATTATCCTCATCGTCCTCTTTGAAATATATCGAGGTGCTCCTTCGTCTCCGAGGAAAGAGGTTTTATTTGAAAGAAGAGGAATTTACGGAGCATCCTCGACCCAGTTCATCTCCTTCGAACCCGGTTCATCTTCCTGGCCTCGTGTCGTGCCTCGGTAATTGTCTGTCCCTGTCCTCGTGTCGTGAACTGAGGATATGGCTGATTCGAACGTGAATGTCGAGCACTGACAGAGAACAGGAAATGAGAAAGCAATGCCTGAAGATCGAAGAACTGCATTTCCTCGCAGTAACCGAGTGAAGGAGGAAAAATGGGTGACTAGATAGAATGCGTAGATGAGTATGAGAGAGAGAGAGACCGGAGGCGGGCTGGGTATAACCCAACGACTGCGTGAACCTCATCTTTCCAGCCGACACGCGCATCTTCAACTAACACGCTGGAAAGATGGCGAAACGCCATGATCACAGCTGGAAAGCGAGAAGTTTCACCCAGGAAAGGACATTCGTGCAGATAATCACCTGACCGGCAGCCGTGGACCGGAACCCGGCATCATCAGTCCAGTTCCATGCATTGAGCAAGAATATCATGATTAAAAAGAGGTTAAGAAATCCAGTATCTGGATTGTTTAAGGACAAACTGCAGAACATCATAATGAGCATGCTAGCCTCAGCATATGAGTCCTCAGTGAGATTATTAGGAAGAGTCGATCTTAACAAAATTGGAGGATGTCATTAACCTTCATGGTTTCGCTTTTGGAGCTTGTCTTCACGGAGAAGAAATAACGACAGAAGAATTACCTTCTCCAGAGAAATCATGAAGGGTGACTGCACATCCGGAGGTGCCTTCCTTTTGTTAACTCCATGAGCTAAGATGACATACTCAGTCCTCACTATAAAGGGCGGATTCCGTATGTTACGTATCTAAACAAAATAAAGTTAATTTTCAAAACAAAATAAAGAACTTGACAAGAATCTCTCATGTTTTTTTTCAATAAAGTCCGAAATTTGAGGGCAAGTTAAATGTCTTTTTCCCATTTCAGAACTGAAAAGTCATTTTCCATCATTGGATGCTAGGAAATGGGTAACCTAATCCTCTACAAACTCCATGAGTTGAGTACACCTATTCTTAATATTGGTAATACTCCAAGCTTCGCTAAAATCACATTTTGCAGTCAACCCATTCAAGGCTTTCCGAAATCGATATTCTCGGTTCACACAAACCAAAAGCGTTTTGTGTTCTTACACTATTTTATCCATTTTGTTTCCAATAAAGTTCGAGAAAATTTTGATATTTTAGAACCAATTGAACAATTTCTCTCGTGTTTTCAGAGCTACACGTTCATGAGGTAAAAAAGGTGGCAAAATACTAGAAAAGGTGGCAAAATACTAGAATTAGCCGGGTTGAACTCATAACGTGTTGCTTCTATATTGCACGCTACTTCCAAAAATAGGTTGCCAATTGGATGCATCACTTCAATTGTTGACTCTGTGTCGAGGTGTGTCAATGATTAGGTAGCAAACACACCCTCATCTTCAATTAATCCAATCAGATTGACATGACTAACTTGCCATTTGTCCAAGGTAACGATGTTGTACACAGGGATAAGTTTAACTCAATCCCAACTTGATCTACATATGCAAAACATTGTAAGCTAGCTAGCAAAATCTCGGAGAACTGACTTTTGCTATTGCAAAATGGTTCTTCACATGGCCTGAAAGCTCGCTTACAACTTCAACTAAAATCCACCAAGATAATCCACCATGTCGCGAACCCGTTGAGAAGCATCACTCTGGTCAAAATAAGTCATGATTTCAGATCTTTTTTGACAAAAAACGAGATACACATGACATCGAATCCAACGATTAGCAGAAAAATTTGGACAAATAGCTTGCATTTCATCAATCAAAATCTTCTGACATTGTAAAACAGAATTCATTGAGGTGAGAGTCTTATAAAATCCACAATCAGCGTTTTTGTAAGTCTTTTGCTTCACAATATCTATAAATGTCACAACTTCAAATAAATGTCTCGTCATATTTGTAGCACAATTAGTTGAACACCCAATTAGCTTGTCGTTCCATAAGGTACAAATTGCATCAAACAACTCTGAAAACATTTCATACATTGTCGATCATGTATGTGTACTAGAAAAAAAAAGTGTAATAAGATGAAGTTTTTCAAGAGAAACTTTTTGATAAAATTGCATTCGAACATCAATCCAAGAAACTCTTTGTAGGTCACAAGATGCATCAAAGGCTACAACAAAGTTCCATTCGGAGTGAAGTATTTCTGCAATATTTTTTATGGATATGGCGCATGCGGTTCTAACTTAAGACACAACTAGATATTCAGTACAAAATCCAAGTTTGAGAATGTTACATACCTCTCTCGCATCCTGAACTGCATCAACATCAGGATGCGAGACAAAAAGACAATACTCTTGCAACAAAACGAGTTACCAGCTCAAACTGTTTCTTCTGGCTAATTTGAATGCAAGAATTGTCATCTTCAGCTGGTTTAAAGAGTAACATTGCATTTGCTCGAGATTGATCATAGAAATTGTTTTCAATCTAGAGCATTTTTCCTATAATCGCGTAAAAAATTGAAGCTCTAATAATAAAAGTACTCATGGCATATTGGTATCCATAAAATGACATGGTTTTGGCATGTTTGATACTGCAAAAGAATTGGATTTATCTTCTATTGAAATTTTTTGATACTCTCTCCATCTCACTTGATGGTTGATGCGCAGATATTGCATATAGTTGTCTGTTATGTACTCAAATGTCTAAGATGTCGAGGATTTTTGAGCAGGTTCTTTGTGACCGAAACTTAACCATAACCTATATATAATAGCCACCACTACAAAAGATCTAGAATCACGATTTGCTATACATAGAGCATATTGTAATAGGTGCTTGAATTGATATGGAGTTTTGCGAGATCGTTTTGAGGCAGGTTCAATAGAATACATCGAGGCAACCAAGGTCCAAAATTGTAGTGAAGTGAAGTGACAAAATTCAAAAACTATAATGAAGTTAAATAACGGTGGTAGCGTCATTTAATCCGAGATCAATCTTCGAGAACTTTTAATAGCCGTAAATTTGTTTACACCGTTGTGGTGTGCAAAGTATTGTGTCAACTTTTAATTAGTAAAGCTATGTAATGTCACAAACGGTCAGAGTGCAGTTTTAGTTAATACCTTAGTTAGTTTCTCTAGTACCGTTTCGAAATGAACAAAGACAATTTTGTTGGACAAACGTAACTTTTTGAAAACGAAATATTGCACTTTTTGAAAACGAAATAATGCACTTTGGCTCTCACGTTCCAAAGTTTCCTCATTTAGAGAATCATGCACTTTTTGAAAACGAAATAATGCACTTTGGCTCTCACGTTCCAAAGTTTCCTCATTTAGAGAATCATGGTAATACTTCATGCTAGTCTATTTGCATCTCGTGCCAAAAATCATAGGCTAACTTTTAGTGTAGGATGAAAGTTGGGGCCTAGTGTAAGATCAGGGGAGGTGGTGTACATTTGCTTATGCTAGTTTGCGGTCTTGCTCCATCGAAGAGTCGATCATGGTATCCATAACATCCACAGATGCTACATCGGTCAAAAACCTCCAATCAGCGTTTACACATTATCAATAAAACACATACACACACATGTACAATTATATATGTTTTGATTCAGGAGATTGGACTCGAGGAAAGAAATATTATGGTATTTGGAGCCAAGCGAAACTGAATGGGCGATTCGTTTACCATTCTGAAGGTTTTTTTTTCGTCTTCTACACCCTTTCCAGTTTTTGTTCGCTCATTTCACCTCATCATGGGATCAAAATGGAACCCACAGAATGATTCGAGAGAAGCAGGGTAAGAGAATCGCCCGCAAACCAAATCTCTCCAGCAGAGTTTCTAGAGATTGGAGAATAATAATGTAGAAATACTTTTCACTATGAAAAGCGAGTTTCACTATGTGATTAGCCGAAATCTGTAAACAATAGGGTCGGACTCAAACTGCATCGCGCAGAGGTTTTCTCCCTCAGGCTGATCTCAGCGCTCTGGCCTTTGTGCTTGATGCCCATTGAAAAGCCAAAAAACTATTGTCTCGCAAACTCTAGAAATTCGCTTGATGAATCATTCGACGTGGCGAAGCTACATAGAATTCCTTCGAGGCTTCTTTACAGCGTCCAGACTCTTCGATTCTACTACACAGAAGTCCAACAGAGGCCTGATATTCCGAGGTAATTGCATGTACTCGTGAAGATCAGTTCCACTGCGCGTATGATTAAGTTTATAACTTGTTTATATGTTTCTTTCTTTCTTTTTCTTACTTTTAATTTATCGGTGTGTAACTCGCTCTGTGCACAGACACACGTTCGTCACTTTGCCGCAGGACCATTTAAATGCTGGAAGTACGGGCTTCCGGACGATCATGCACCGATTAGGGAGACGGCAACTTTGAAAGACCTCAAAAGGGAGCGAAGCTATGCTTGCAACACTATCGGCTAATATGTTGAGCTTTCGGCTAGGAATCATTTGGCCTTGTACTGCTTGGTTAACTTTTGCTCCGGGACTGCGGCCATCTCGGTTGCTCTGCAAGGACTTCTGGCCAGTGAACGCATTGAGATGACTAGGGAGCGAACTCATGCCCGACATTTGTGGTACACGAGAGTCCTTCGGTCCAGACAGTCCGGGCGCTCTAGGCCATCAGAAGAGCAGATGTGATCGACTCGTCAACACCTTCTTCAGACACGTCAAAGTCCTACTATAGAGAGAGAACCGATCGGGCCTGAAGACAGTGGACGAGCACAGATTACTCCAACCCTTTGCGCTGTCCTCAATCGGATGCCTCCGATGGTGACGGCGACGGTGACGTGAGACTCTCACCTCCGGACATGCAGTGGCACGGTTTTTTTATTCACTTACAAGTACAAGCGTCCTGCCATTGAAAACCTTTCACATTCACCTGTACAGTACTTTTCAGGGGTATCCAATCTAGAGCGACAATCCACCTCCAATCCTGGCAGCGACGGGGCTATCGTTACCTCTTTCAGAAGTCAAATCCAGTCAGTAGAATGTTTGTGCCGAATTAGATTGGCCCAGATTGCACGTTTCTTTCCACGGCCGGAGGAAATAGCGAGCGTTCAGGATTTAGGGTTCATCTCCCCCTCGAATCCCTCTACTGTACTCCTTTGCCTCGAATTTCCCGGCACCCCTTCCCGTTCGTTAACGCTCGCTCTTCCCCAGATGAACCCCACGAGGGTTCAGAGTGATAGACATGGAGATCATGAAGTGCTTCAGTACTGATTGATGAGTTCTTTATTTCTGTGACATAGAACTTGAGTGACAACATCTATAACAAAATCATTTTTATTTCGTTAATTCTCATCTTCTCAATTAAAATGTTCTACATACATTGATAATATAAAAAAATTTATGATATAAATATGTTATGATCTTTTCCCAAATTAAGTAAATAATTGGTATTCTATTTTCTTCTATAGCTTTTTTCCCATATCGATTTTTTTTGGAATATATTGTACAAATATTGAGGTATGAATCACATATATTTGAGTATTTTGAAATTTTGAATTAATTAAAGAGGTAGTCCAAGTAATCTCTATAGAAAATAAGTGCTTCTACGACAATAGGCATAAAAGCATGATTAGTTACACCCCGTAGGTTTTAAGAGATAAAACAGTCAAGCAAGTCGAAGAGAATCAAACGCACAGAATACTTCCAATTTGTGGATTTGCAAGTGGTATCACATACATTAGAGTACTCATATTGGTGTTAACTATGGATCCATTTACGTTAACAAGATACCTACAAGTAAAGAATAGTATTTAGTAACAGTTTAAAAAGAACGTTAGTTCTACATAACCTTTTTGTTTTTTTCCCTTTTTTGAATATTTCCCTTCGTCCGTTCTTCATACTTGATAAACTAAAAACGTATGTATTTTTCCAAACTATGCTTTAACGCGAATCCAGACAAGTGGTTTGAGAAGTAAAGGGAATCAAGGTTGACTGTACATTCTTTTATCACTTCTAATACATCAATCTCCCTCCAAGAACATACATGATGTTCATTCTTTCGTTGCAATTTATAAGCATTTGCGACTTTGAGATTTCTTACACCACTTGTATGCTCAGAATACACTCAAGTACATGTAATGGCTAGAAAACATTCTTTGGAACCACATCATGATATATATTATCATCACTCACTCTGCGTCTACCTCACAATATACTAGTATTTTTTTCAGTTTGATAATCATAAGCAAACAAATGATCAGGTTATGTTTGACCTGAAATGAATGACATAGATTCATGTATATCGACTAGATATCAAACAATATGTTCTTAGGATCAAATCATACATAAAAAATGAAAATTTTTGAAACCATTGCTTTCAAAAAAAATTTAAAATTCAAATTATGGTAAAAGAATTATTATAACTCAATATATATAAAGATTTCTTTTTTTTATAAATTCTGAATTAATCTGGAAATTTTTTGGAAAAATTTATTTCATTTTTGAATAAAATTTTGCAGTTTTAGTGTAAATTATCTAAAATAATTCATTTCATTAATAATTAAATTCTTATATATAAGTATTTCATCAGTAAGTTTCTGCAATGTAATCGATTTATTTTAAAATAATATCAGTTTTAAATTCAAATGATATGATCTAATTCATTAATATTTAAAACATATTTTTTGAAAATAATTTTCTATTAACTCATGAAAAAATGTAAATTAGCTCATTTTAATTTAAAAGTATAATATAAAAATTTACTTTTGGCTTTAAAAGGTGCTTATTTATGCACATAGTTTTGTTAAAAAAATTGCAAAATAAAATTATTCTAAACGGATTGGCAATTACATCTTAACTTGTGAAATGTATTTTTTCGACTAAGATGTTGAGGTGGTATCATTGAAAATTGTAGATTTAGGTTGACGTTGTATTTACATGTAGGTAGATTTATAATTCAATTTTCATCAACGATCAAAATAACTGAATGCAATGATTGATACAACTTAAAAATTACTCTGAATGAATGACTTGTGATGTGAAAGAAATTAACATTTCAAATATTTTGACAAACATGAAATTAATTTTATGCAATGTAATTGTTAAAGAATGATTATGCATACAAGCTTTGATTATTACATACACGTGTATGAAAAAAAATGTTTTAAAATAAAGTTGATTTGAGCTGAAATATTTGCTCTTAACGTGCAAGCAATGAAAATATGAATTTGCGAAAAACAGAATGTCGATCATATATCCTTTTTCTTCTCCAAGTACGCACACACGCATGGAATGATTATCTTTCAAATAGCATAATTATATCATGGATTATATTTATTGTTGAAAAAAAGGAATTGTGCACAATTGGACTAATATCAATACATCACACAATTGGAATTACAAGATCTGATGCAAGATCAATCCCGAGTTAATACATACTCCAATGTATATATTGAAATGAAGGAGATTTTTTTTTGTAAAGCTAAGTAATAATCTATTGGCAAATGAACCACATTAATTTCATGAATGCGGGTACATAGTATGTTAGATGCGGGTACATAGTACCCGCATCTAACATAATTGGAAAAATATATATTTTTGATGAAAAGCAAATTTTTTTTAAAAGTCTCTCGTAATATTGAGCACAAAAATCTATTAAAATTATCAGAAGTCTCATGTTATAAAATTATATTTGATTTTGATCATCACACGTAATGCAGTTAACTGATTTCTTTGGATATATTTTTGCTCATTTGAACCTTTCTAAGAACTAATTATAAGTATATATTGTTAAATTTTATACTGTTATTAAATTAATTTTTTTAAATTAATTTGGTTAAATTATTTTATCAAATGGAAAAGAGAATTGTTATTATATTTATTCAAAAAATGGCTATTTTACGAACAATAATCCGTGTGCAGACACATTTGAGATCTATAATAGGACATAAGTTATATCATACATAATTTTCTATACATATATGTGTATATATATATATATATATTAAAATCAACATGAAAAAACTTATCTTTGGATATATAAGGATAAATATATGGTCTTTGTAAATTTTGGCCTTATTGAGAGTATCAATAATTTTATTTCTTTTATTTAGATGACAGTAATGAAGATATCCATGGATCATTTGATGAACTTCATTGACATTCAAAAATTAGTCAAAGTGCAAGAATTTAGCAGTTTGATTACTTTAGTATTTGTTTCTCGCATCAAAAGATGAAATATCATTTGAGTGTAATATATCAACGTGTTTTTTTATTAACAGCAAAAAGATTAAGAACATGATTCATAATTTTTTAATAATATTATATATAATTCATACATCTAGATCGTTTCATGAACTATTTATACATATGGTATTTATACATATGGTTGCAAATGACCGAGTGATGTTAAGAGTTGAGAAACACTGATTCTTAAACAGCATTAAATACTCGCTGTCACTAGAACATTCTTTGAAGCTACAACGCTTTTCACAGAAATGCAAATCAAAATAAAGTTTTTATATTTTTAAGAGTAAAAAACCTCCGTAATTAAAGTGCATAGAAAAGAGAGCATGGGATTCTTGGCGCAAGCCCCAATGCTGCTACACCGAGAACGGTCGAAGATTTCTACTTGACTAGGCATCTCTTTGCCTTAATGACGCGCACGCTACAAGGTGGCTTATGAGGTCAAACCTCATTTGCTGCTCAGCAACTGAGCGAAAAACATTGTACACGTTATCTTTGCCTACGCATCTCATGACTTGCATGGCAATTGGTGGCTGTGATACCACCGTTTGAGACTTTTAATTGTCAGATGGACTTGTAATCGGTGTATTCTATCTTCCACTACGTCCAACACTTACTTAATGCACAACATTGTGGTGTGAAATAATTTTGCTACATTGCCTCGTGGAAAAACCCAAAAAAAGTCAAGAGAAGTGAATTGTTCTGATTTATGCCGTTGACGGTGGCGATTGATTGAAGGTGTGAGATAGGAAAAGATGGCTTTATTTTTCATTAAATTCACATAAGAAACGTTTCCACTGTACATAAGAAAGAAATATCATGAAGGTGATAAAGACCTTCTCCAAGGTTACATCATTTTACTTCTCTAGAAATGCCCGAAGTTTTATTCTAACGGAGGCTCATTTAGACCCAAGGAGAAGATGTGGATGTGTCATAAGACATATAATATCACAATTCTTGTCTTGTTCTTAATGTTTCATGATGATGGAGTCTAGTGATAAGCTTCATATTTTCAGACATGTGAAGCAGCTTTCTTCTAGTCAATAGTATTATCTTGACTGGTTCACACAAAAGTTTGGCATAAGGGCATCCTCGACGCCTATCATGTCAGCTTCAGTTGGCCATAAAATCAAATCTGATCTGAAATCTTTCAAGGATCAAAGTCGAGGCAAGGCGAACATGTGGAGGTTCAGAACCTTCGGTCTTGCAACTTGGACGGGATGACATTTGCTTCTAACCGATAGAATATTAGTAGTTTGACTCAACACCATCGGTATGTCAGACGACGTAAGGTTATCTCGACTTCCCTTCGTGTATTGGAAAGTTTCAAGTTTCAAGTTTTAAATCGAAATCTTCTTCTGTGTTCGATTTGCAGAAACCGGCTATCAATATTCCACGGATCAGGCACTAAAACGTGCTCCCGTGAAATCTCATCTTTTTGGTCGTGCCCGATGCTCCTCTTCTAAACTTTCTATGTTATACAGACTGGTGGGCCGATTGGTGTATGTATTTGTCAACAGAAGCCAGTTGTTCATACAGTACTGTCATCTGCCGGACGACCCGAGTCAGCTGGTAATAAAGTCCAGGTACAAACAAATATCCACTTGAATCTCTTGTTTAACTGTGGATGTCAGAGGATAGACCGACTTTGTATACACGAGTAATTTGGCATCTGTCTCAGGTTTCCAAAGCTGGCATAAACGAACAGATGATTGTCAGATGATCTTAGAACCAACATGGAATCGGATATGTGATTTGAGATGAGCAACACGAACATCTCTATCTAATGGAATCTTCAGCTATCATTGCCTGCCCTCTGCCCTCTCTCGAGTGCTAGACGGACACTGAACATCTACACCCAGGTTTTGAGCTGGCCACTGAAGCAAAGAAATGCCTTAGCCAGATACAGTTCTTCTAAATGGCATGCAAGGTGAATGTTACTTGTCAGTACATCATTAATCCTGAAGTCACTCTCGGTTGACTTGCTTCTCTAGAGATGGATAACGAGAGGTCATACCTCTCACAGACGTTCAGCGTGAATCCGTAGGGTCTTGCTAAAACCATTTTCGAGGCGTTGACAAGTGAAGCCCACATGCTGTAAAGATAACAATGTTGCATTTCAGGGTGTAACGTTTGCACGGTGTCTGATGTAGAAAGCTAAGGTGCAGATATAAGCAACTGACTCATACATTTGGTCTTCGACTGGAACCTCCAGTTGTTTGCTGAAAAGGCCTCGGCATCATGTGGAAGCAAAAACTGAATGACAAGCTTAATTTTATATTCAGCCATACGTTCGTTTCATACAACAAAAAGATCCAAGCAAGACTTCAACAGGTAATATTCTTCATGTCCTGATAACGAACAAGGTCAAAGTGTGTTCTGTTATCTGATGCATCCTGCTCTAATAAAGCAGCAAATTCAACTGTAGAGGATTTCATAGTGCTTAGTGGTTCAAACGTATGTTGGAGCAGCAAAGACTCAAAACCTTTTGAAACATCCACGTCCAGTACTACCAGATATCGGCATAGACATTGTACACTAGAAGGCGAATTCCTGCTAAGAAAAGATTCATGCTGTCTCGTTCGCAATTCAGGGCGAACGAGCATTTCTTCCCGCATCTCACAAAAGTTTTAACCACCGCTCTGCGCTTTCCTTCATCAGCTCCAACTTTAGGCGAATCAGAGGTTAACCATTAGCACAAACGTGCTTAGGTGAATTTTAACTTTAGTCAGTATCTGTATCGATAGGTGCAGTCCATACAAGTGTCAGAAACTTTCATTTCTTCCTGCACTAGCCTGCACAGAAATTGTGTTGTTGCGCGAAACTAGAACTGACTGGAGGATTTTCAGTCTAAAATATTTTCAAAAGTCAAGTAATTGTTGTAAATGTGAACTTCAGAAAGGGTTCAATGCGTTCCTTTCAGTGCTAGATTACGGTTTATAAAGTTATCTACTCTGTAAACAGTAGTCCTGTGTTAAAATTTCAGGATCATAGGATTGTGGACATCAGGCCTCCATCACTCAAAGAGATTTGTTCCACTCTCCTCTCCTTCAATCTCAGAAATAGTTCTATGTCGTGTTGCAGGATTTCTCTCGAAAACGGTTGGTGAAAGTTCTTTAGTTTGTTCAAGCTATAATGTTGGTACGAATGATATCCTGTGATTATAAAGACATCCTTACTGAGACAAGGCCAGAAAGCTCGATCAGGTATTTTTCAAAACAGTTTTTGCATATAAAGCAGCAGCCTAGAGTAGCGTCATCAAGACTGCTCTTAAACTTACCAAGTGTCACATTGCTGACTGATGGCTATTGCACTCCGTCCTTGGTAATCTTCTGCGCTATAGTTCTTCATAGTTTTCTCCTAAAATAAAATTACATTCGAATACACTGCCCTAGTGTACTTGAAGTAGTAATTAATTGAGGTTCATATGAACAACAACCAGCTCTCGAGTCTTGACACGACGTGGAGACCTCGGTCTTCTGGAAAACACTCCAAAACTCAGGACTCATACAATCCTCTATCAATAACTGCTTTCAAAGCTTGAGCTAGACTGACAGAGTATGGCGAAACCGTGTAACCCGGTTCAGTGCCATAATAGTTGCCCTCAATTCTGAAGGCTTCAGAAACATTTTCAAACCACTTCGACTTTCAGAGTCCTGGAACTATCTGCACAGCAGCAATTACCCCCAACTTCGGCTAGCCTGACACTCTTACACTTCGGAAACCTCACAAGTCGATTGAGTACGGAGCCTTCAAAACTAATGGGATCTCCTCCTTGACGAAACACTTAAGTTCGGATTTTTCGTAGTGTCAAGAATCAGATTTTTCCGCATTCTACCGTGAGAGTGAGGATTTGCTGACCAAGAATTATCACCTGCCATTTTAATATGCAGGAGATTTATTATGTATTCATCCTCGTTGTTACCATACACGTTGTCTTAGAAACCCATGAATGCATTATCCTTATGTTTGGGTGTAGCACTGGAAAGGTCAAGGGATATAAATCTACAGCCACGATCGTATGAATTGTGAAAAGGTCTTGTTTGGTTGTATGGTCATTGACGTTTAAACACCCACTGGAAGCCCCAGCAAATCAAAGCATTTGAACATTCGGCTGGATATAGTTCATGAAAACTACTGGATACAGGAAGAAGCCCCGGCAGCAAAACTGTGGTGGAGTTTTACAGCTTCAAAAAATGTCTCGTTTGCAAGGAAATGAGAGTATAAGCTTAAGAAAATCAAAAAGCGTGTCCATCACATATTGACTGGTTGCATCGCCGAGGACAGCGCTTGTGAAAAGCTTTCGTCAAAGGACTGGAGAGAGCAGGAGTACGATTTCAAGAAGAGATGTTTTAGGTAATTTATCAAACCACTATCTTCTGCGTGCTTGTGATTGACTTTGATTTTTCCGCATCTGATGCTTCCTCACATTTTTAAACATAGGATCTGCAGTTGAACGACCCCGAAGACTGAGGCCTTTTGCTGGTGAAAAGATGAAGCCTTTGACTTCTGAGGCTTTAATCACGTGTTCGCATCTTAATTATTAATGCCTCGGTCCTCAGGTTTTCATCGGACAGAATGGTCTCCCATGCAAACACCAGAAAACGGAAAGTTCAAGTTGCAGATTTCTACGGAGAAGGTAGTCATCAACCTCCGGTTCTGTTGAACCTCAGTGGTGCTTTAAGCCTCGCTGCCAGAGGTTCTAAACAGAGGACTTCTGAAGTCATTTGTGTAGATCGTGGTATAAATTCGCCATCCAAGTGGAGTTGGGGTTCAGATCGACCCCGTGAGATACTTCTGTAGCGACCTCTCCATGTCCATATGTCTTCGCTATCATGGGCAGAAGAACCGCAGCAGAAGGTCTATCGAGTACGACTGAGTTTAGGTCATATTATAAGCTCTCTCGATCGTCGAGTGTACTGCCCACACTAGTGTGAAGCCTTTTAAGGTCGTCAACACGACATTTTCCAATCGGGAATCTGCGACTTTTGACGCCTCGAATGTCAAATGGTTGTGCCTCGACGAACGATGCCCATTTTGAGCAAGATACTGACTGCATTTGCTCATGGAAAACTCACCCAATAATTGTTTCTGGAATTTTTTCTGCGATACAACCATGCTAAATCGCGTCTATGCCAAGCTTCCAGCGTTTCGGGCATGTCATGGCAATATGGAGAGAGTAAATTATCAGCGGAGCCGAGGATAACGACCATAGACTTCTCCACAGATGCTACTCGTGGGGGAAGCTCTACCAAACCCTTTAATTTCCCGATTCGCCAACTTTTCACGAACTGCAATCGTGGCCAAGCTGAAAGGAGCAGCTTCACCTCACCGATGAAAAAGTCTGGAAGAACGAGTTTAATTATCGCCCGGACGTAGAACGTCGTCACCTACGAGCATGAGCGGTGAGGTTTCGAAACGCTTGCATCGGGACAAACTAGAACGGCATGAAGAAGCGCCGGGGGTCCACTCCAAATCATCACTTCCACTCACCCCGACTCGGCGGGCGCTTGACGTGCATCTCCGTCGGATCATGAAGACGAAGCGGAGAGCCGCATTTTTCGACCCATGTCGTGATCGAAGCCTGTAGCCGGGAGGACTTAACGCTCAAAATAATGCGACGGGTCCACCGCGCGTCGCATGCACTTTTCACGTGCACTTTGGCTCCGATCGCTGGTCTATCGTGAAACGTACCGTGCTCGAGCGACCATATGACAGTACGAGAGAAGCGGCTTTCGAACGAGCTGCCAGGATTGTCAAGCTCGAGAGGTCAACTACCGAGATGACGATGACGGGAGCTCGAATCCTACCGAGGCATCTGCTCGGCATCAGGCGCTCGAATTCTCCAGACCCATGCCACCAGTCGGCGCTCATCGAAACGGAGAAGATTCCAAGAGCGGTGCTCGAACATTCGTCATTCTTACGCTCGAGAACGGTCGATTCTTTCTGGCTTGAACCGCGGGTGAGAATGCAACCCATGTCTAGCAAGACACCGTGAGCTCTCCACCAAGAGAGTGGCATGCCCCTAAAGCAGAGTACTGCATCGGGTACCCATACCCGAAACCCGAACCAAACCCGCCCGAACCGATGGGTATGGTTCGGGTTTGGACCAAGCTAGAAAGGTCCGGTTCGGTTTCGGGTTGGACTTTTCTTAATATGGTTTAGAAATATGGTTACGTTTAAAAATGTAAATTAGGGTTACTCTGTACAAAGTTCGTGGAGTATTTTTTGATTTGACACAGTGCTAATCGCACTTGTTCTCTTCGTCCATTACTCTCGAGGTTTCTCATAGGTGACAATGACAATTGAGATGAGTTCATTCGGGTCCAGTCGGGTATCAATTCAGAGGCGACTTGGGTTCGTTTCGGGTTTCGGTTTTGTCCCTTTGGATATCGTTTGGTTCCGGGTACCACAAGCGGAGAATACGTGGGCATGATCTGGTTCGGGCATGCTTTTGAGGTGTGATGCAGTACTCGGGCCCTAAAGTACAATAACACCATAATAATATTTGACATATGCACTCTCCCACATAAGATTTATGAATTTTCTATGTCAAACCTGTCTAAATCTGAACAAGTGTAGGGTGTAACACACTGGGTTAGTACCCAGTGTGTTCTACTACAAAACCTTAATTTATGTACAAGAAAGTTGAAGTTAATTAGTAAACTAGTTTAATATATCATAACTAGTAAACTAACTAGAATTTTTCAAGACCCAATTTAATTATTACTTATACCATAATAAACTAACTACGTTCAACTCAAGATCCAAAGTACCTCTCCAGCAAATGGAAAGAAAACCGGTAACTTTCATTCAACTTAAAACTACCAGTGTGCAAATGGTTAGGCCCATTGTGTATATATTTTATAAATTTTACACAAGCATACTAAATAAACATCGCCTAATGCTATTCTTGACTTATGTATTTCAATAAGTAGTATGAGTGATTACAATGACGATTGCATATTGATTTTAGAAAAATTTGTACTGAAGTAAAAAAAGTTATAACTTTGTAGCCTAACCATGGTAGTCTCTACAATGCTCTAAAACAACCATAGCATGATCGTTTTGAGTAGAAAGTAAAGAATATATAAACTCAAACAATATATTATGAAACCTAGTATCATATTTAGTGTTGGGTATAAAAATCAGATTCCAAAGTTTGTGAGTTTAATATAATATTATACAAATTTGAACTTGTACATTAAAGTTATAAAGCGTTTAAAACTGCAAAGAAATGATTTGGAATTGCATTGGTGAGATTGCCTACTCCGGATTTCCCTCACACATTGCAATTTGAGCATTTTCCATATTAGGTCAACTCGGTCTATATAATATAGAAAATACAAGATGGTCAAGATAGTGCATGGTAAAACTCAAGTCAAGTTTGATAGTTCCAAAGTCGAAGCTCAAACTGCGTTATGATACAATGTTGGGGTTCTTCGTCAACAAGAATATCTCATAGAGATGAGGAGAGCCACCCTTTTTCAAGAGATTTTCATGAGGTTGATGAGGCGCAAGAACCATTGGCGGAATCACCAAAACAGGTCATGCAATATGAGGTTGGATTGAAGTAGATTATCCAAAATGAGTAAAGAGAATTTGCGTACTAAAACATGAGTTCTGAGTAGTTCAATTTGGATCTATTTGTTCAAAATGATGATGCAAATGACGATGCCCGATAGTAGGTTTTAATACAATAAATTACAATATAATTTTTTAAGGGAGTGGCTAGTTATCCCTCACCTGGGGCTAATTAGCCCTCACACTAGTATACGGACTTTAGTCATTGGGCGAATGGGGCTATAGAGTCAGTGTGGTAAGAGCTGAACTTCGTGACTAAATGTCTTTCTTATGAACTCCAAAGATGCCATGGTGTCAACAGCCACGTAAGAAACTGACTGCCACCTCCGTGATCTAAAAGTCACGTCAAGATTCTTGGCAGCGAAAACAAGCTCGTGGATACTAATTTTTGTTCAGCACAAGTGATGTTAGGATTAGAAGGTATTCAATGCAAGTGCGGTGGGATTGGATTCTTTGGACTTACTTTGTGGTCATACTCATGTCTCATCCAGAAGCATGTTATCGTACTTCGTTGAACAATCTTTAGTACACTTTACAGTTTCTGGTGACTTAATTGGAGCAAAGAAACATGAATACATGGTTTTAACCTCCTAGCTTAGGCACTACAACAGGGATCATGCGCGAAAAATCAACATCTCGCTTATACTCTTGATTGTTTTAAAAAATCCGGCTGCCTCATTGAATATCTATACCTTACTGAGTTATTCCATCAAACTGGGTCAAAAAGCATGTGCAGCAAAAGATTAAGTGCCGTCACTCAATTATTCGACGCATTTGCATTGAGCACGAGGATCTAAACTGCCACTTGTGTATATTATCTTGTTCGCACCCACAAGCCCGTATTTGCTGCCAAGAACCTTGGCGTGGGAGTAAGCTCGTTACAAGATTGACACCATGGCATCTTTGGAGTACATTAGAAAGAAGTGTAATAGCGAAGTTAAACTTTTACCACAACGACCCTATAGCCCATCTGTCCAATGATTGAATTCTGTATACTAGGGTGAGGGTTTATTAGCCGCAGGTGAGCGATAACTAGGAGCTCCCTTTTGTAAGCCTTGTATTATACTATGTGTATAATAATCCGGTTAAAAACATACACATCACTTATCATAATTCCTCATGAAAGTAAGAATTGAGAAATAACACCCAACTCTCATGGTTAGGTACGAGATGAATATACGTGATACCGTACATGTATCTTGTGCTACAAATTGGAATAAGTTAGAGAAACAATTTACGCTACTTCGCCTCGCATCCAATACCCACGCTCGTAGTGACAAGCATACGACCCATGCAACACGAACCAGAGAGGTCCACCGCGTATCGAGCGAACGGCAGGTGGAACGAGCTCGAGCTCGAGCCCATCACCGTGAAGCACGAAGAGGTCAGCGGAGCCCGATGGAGTTTGTGTGGGGTATCGAAGAAGCCCAATTCCTTCGGGTTTGGAGTGAGTGAGCATCCACTCCCACACTCTTCGAGCTCGGTTGGAGCTGGAGACGGATGTTTCCGCACCCGAAACATTCAAAGGTCCACTCTGCGGTCAATCCACCTCAAAAGCAGGGGAAAACTTACATCCAAAAGCAGCAAGTCATGAGTGGAGAATTCCAGAAAGCAGCACCTGGAAAGGCAAAAGGCAGCCAAGCCCAAAAAACGCGCCAGGCATGCTCGGCACATCCAGTCCCGTCTGCATTTCGCAGAGCCATGGAAGCTACAATCTTAGCCATAAAGCTTTGGCCTCGGGTTGGGTTATATCGGTTCCGGACGACTCGTTGGACCAATGACTATGGGTACAAGTGGCAAACGGCCACAGTTATCGAGCCTGGGCCTGAGCCTTGTTTGTAATTTTGTCCACATCCCGGCGCTGTGACAAGCTCGAAACGGTCTGACTCCACGAGCGACGTAGCTTTCTTCTCGGAGGAAGCAACTTGGGCATGAGTGCAGTCTCGGAGGCTTTCGAGTCTCGACAGATTCGCACAGCATCGAGTCCTGAGTCATGGCCCCTGCTGGTGCTGCTGCAGCAGCAAAGGCACATGGTATGTTGACGTGCGCCTCTGTATCAGCACTGGACCAAGTATCTCGTGAACAAACGGACATAACGCATGTTTCATGAGGTAGGCAGGCACACACGCCTCGGTTCATGGGAATGGTTCAAGGGACTTTCCCTCCCCTGCAGGTAGCCAGAACTTCAGATTAGTCAGGCACATTTTGACAGGGATTACAGCAAGCCTGCTCTGTGATCCTAACACGAGGGTAATGAGGTGTTCTTTGCCGAGCTCATGATCCAGGTATGCAGCTCGATCGGTCAGCTGGCCAGAGAGACTCTGGATGAAAAACAAGAGCCCAGGGCCAGGCCCCGTCAGGAGCGCACGTAGAGATTTTTGTCTGGCAAGGAAATGAGTGTTTTCTCTTTCCGTTCTGCCGACTCCTGCGTGCGTGGTTCTGAGAGGGACCACTTAAAGGGCCGTATAGTTATCAGCAGTAGTGTGTTGTTGCCACTGCAATCATTGCAGGATTCTTTCTTTTTGGCCTTGGGGAAGCGCGGTCGTTCCAGCGCAGTCTGCAGTCAGTCGTTCGGTCAGTCTGCCAGTCTGTCGTCGGTAAGCTGACAGGAAAAACTTAGCGAGATGTACTTGACGTCTGCGCAGGGGCGTAGAGTCCTCAATCGGACTCGTGAATGCCGATTGCTGATTCCGTAAGAACTGCATTCGAGCGTGGCCATGATGCTTTCTCGCCCTTAGGTCTGCCGTATCAGTTACTTCTTGGATTTCAGCCGTCAGTCAAAATCTATCTAAAGATGTCTGGAGATATATATACATGCCTTCAGGTGAGTTAATTTAGCCAAAGATTTCACTAAGGCGATTGAAGTTATACTAATCGGGATGGATCTACGAGATATTCAGGTCAGAATCCCAGTCACTTCACTGAGAGTGTCCTTTGCATCCGGCTCGGAAGTACAGATCTGTCCAGTTCTGAGTGGACTCATTGGAGGGTTTGGAATGATCATGAGTGGACTCAGTGGAGTCAAAAGGCTCTCTAAAAAGCGCGTTGAAGACCTTCAAAATCGACCCTGGCCAGAGAGCAGGAACTAGAGTAAAAGCTACAATGATCGCACCCGTCGCCCATTTATTCAGCTCCTCTGTTTTCCTTCAAAAGCTCCTAGGTGGCCCTCAGATTCTCACGGAGCCCATTTCTAGCAGGACATAGCACTGGCTCACGGTGACATAACAGTACAGAGACTCCAGATTCGTTGCGAAGATCTGCTCATGTCATCGTGCAGTTGCAGAAGGAAAAGAAGACTGGATTCGCCCATCATTCGTTCGTCATGAAAACTAACCGAAGGAAAGCACTCGCTGCATAAAATGTCTGTGTCATAGTAAAAATGCAGGAGAATGAGAAAGATAATCGGCCCCAGACCATGTGCAGTGTGTGGGCAGAAA